GAGCTGGGCTGTCACCGCTTGGCCGCCGGTGGGGGGTTTGGGAGGCCGCATCACACACAGACACCCACACACTCCCTCAACTTACACGAACACACACATACGCAGACTCATTTCCACACGGACATAGACACACGCACAAAAACCCACACACTACCTCAACTCTCTCGACTTCACACTTCTCACTGCACACTTACCGGATAACTCGCACTCTGACTTCCTACGTGATGAAAAATGCTTTCGGGCCACTCGTCGTCTAGTTTTCTGGATCGAGGTGTAAGCAACACATAGTGCTATGGTCACTTCATGTATCATTTGGATATGCTTGGAATGTACTGTGATCAGTGGGATCAGATCGTTAGATCGCAAATTAAAGCCTTTGCCAGATCTAAAGCCTTAGCAGCTGGGAATGAAGATCCCAGACAAATCAGTATTTGGCCTCATCAATCTCAAATATCTCACTGATGGCCGAGCCTAGACTTGCGGTGGTTTCATAGCTTTCATGGCATGTTTGCTACAGATCTGTGAGATGCTTGAGCTGGCACTTCGAATCTGAATGACCAAGGCAGGAATGCCCAGAGAACCAGGCGATCGAAGTGGGGCCTGCACGAAGGAGGGACAACCGCGAGGGCACATTCCAAGCAGCTTTCAATAGGCAGTGAAACATCCACAACCGAGCCACACCAAACGCATGGTATTGAAGAGGACTTGTACAATACCCATTGCACAGATATTGCCTAGTGACCTGAGTAGATTCCTGCCAACATCTGAGTGCACACTATGGTAAGATTTGAAGCGAATCCAGATTGTTGGAGGCTAGAGTCGACGGTGGCGGACAACAATGATTTCCGCCGTGGCCATATCCTAGGCCGGGCATTCAAACTTGGTCTCGTTGTTTATGAAGCCGAGTATCCAAGTTTTGTCTAATTCTTAACCAAACACCATCATGTTTGATGCAGATGATTTGAGCAGCGGATGAAGTAATATAGCAGTAGGCAGGTAGCTGCAGCTTTAGTTGTCATGATGCTCATTGTTGCTGAGAAGCGTCTGATCATGATATTCTGTTGGATGCAGAAACATCAGAAGCAGATTTGTGATGATGAGCCCAGAGTCACGAGCAATATCAACATTGGAAATACTTCAAAATGACAGATCCAGAGAATTGATGCGTTCAGTTTTGTGCATCATCAAACTCCACACATGCGAAGGGGCAGAAGCTAGCTCCTTCAAAGGCATCCATTGGAGCAAGTGGCCTGGCAAATGTTGAGTCAAATAATGACAAGTTCAATTGTTTGACTTGGTTTCTGAGTCTGGAATGCGCATTTAGGCCCTCGTTTCGGCTAGTATTTGCTTGTGGTATGCGACATACGTTCATTTTTTCGAATGAATTGTGTGAAAGAAGTCTTTCTCCTTTCACGCCAGGGTGAGCAACTACGAAGCCACGAGCGATCGGCCGGTGGTGCGCAAGTCCTTGCTGCGCGAGATGCAGGAGTTGATTGGACCGCGACATGGAACCGTCCACAAACATCCCCAAAGAACCGAACACGCAGGATGCGCCGCAGCACTTGGAATGGCTGCAGGCAAGAAGAGAAGACGAGACATGTCGTTTCACCCGCGGTGAAGCGGACCGAAATCGATCGAGGAACGGAAGACGCATCGTTTGGCGCGAGGCCCATCCACCTCCAGGCTACGAGGAACGCGATTACTCCAGACGGAACGTGCCGGATGCTCTGATGGACACTAAGAAGACAGAAGACTCCTTCCCTTATTTGCTGAGTTGCCCTTGTAGTGTGAAGAACATCTATGTCCCCAGCTCCAGGTTGGCACGGGAAGCCAAGGAGGATGAGGATAGACACTTGGACCAGCGACCGCAGGCTGTGATCTTTGTCAGAGCAACGCATTGCAAAAGAACTGAAGAAGTACATTTGAACAACAACAAGCATTTTCTCTCAATTTATTGCCTTTTAACTTTTCGCCTTGTAACTTTTCGCCTTTTGAATCAGACAAGAGGGTAACAACTTGGCTGTGCTATGCCGCTGCGCTTGTGAATCACCGAGCCCTTGATTCCATTTGCAGCGGCAGGGAGTTGCTGGTTATGGCCGTCCGGGCACCTCAGGGTGTGTTGTTGTTGTTGTTGTTGTTGTTGTTGTTGTTGTTGTTGTTGTTGTTCGACAACAGGGACTTGGTAGAGTATCTTTGGTGGGGAGACTGTATATTGAGACAGGCGTCTGGCAACAAACTTGAATTCGATGCATCCGGTTGCTTTGCTGATGGCTCATGTGCTGAATGATTGATCAATCTCCAAGTTCACAGTAATTTGTCACCTGAGAAAGGGCCACCAAAAAACGTACCCTGGCCGATGCCTCATCAATTTCGCAGCTTAGGCCGCAATGTGCTGACTCGTGAGGTGGCCAAAGATGGCGATACTGCGAACATGCCACGACCAGCTGCCATTGAGGCGAGAGAAAAACACCATCGTTTTCAGTTTCGTCCAAGTTGCGACGATCGTGATCTGGATCAGGCTGGCGGTGCACCTGTTTTCATTCGCCCGCGGACCCTCGTCAAGGCTGGGTGTTGAGCTTTCACGAAACAGTCTGGCTATGTTTAGCTTGCTTCAATTTTGACAGCCATTATATACAGCAATTGAAAGCTGGGTTGTTCGCGAGGTGAAAGGCCTCCAATGAATCTTGGGGCTCTTTTGGCTTCGACTGCCCGGGCCTCGCAATAAACCTTATAACTTATATCCAATATTGAGAAGAACACCCATATTGAACTCGTGGCTCCCACATTCAGTCTTGCAAGCATTCAACTTTGTTTCCGCATGGCACGAAGAATGGGAGTTTCCTTTTTGATCTCATACTTCCTGCTCACTGATTTCTGGGTTGGTTGGTGCTACCAAAAGCCTGAAGGAAGAGCTCCTTGGGGTCTCTGAATCCTGCAAGGACAGGAATGAAGGAATTGTCATGGATTCTTGATCTCTCTAAAAAAACAGGATCATCCAAGAGATCAATTTGCTTTGAAGAATCCCAGACGTGCTGCTACTACATCTAAATCCTTGATGCTTGCCTTCATGCATTGCATGCATTTAGAATGAGCTGTTCAAAGGACATCACAAGATCAAGTACTTTAATAGATGAGCCGATGGGGTGGCAGCAACCACATTCAATTCTTCTTATTTGCGCCTCAGTGCCTCCTAAAGTTTGGAGTTTGCACGGCTGCATGCATTTGTTGAGAATCCCTCGCTGCATGAACCAAAGTCTGTGTGGACCGATACAATATCAAGCCCCAAACGTGCAGACCAGTAGTACACAGTACTACTGTGTGTTTTTGGCTGCAGGAAGGCTTTCCTTGATGTTCACAGTTTATTTGTGCACTTATCATCGGAGCATGAGAGTCTTTATGTGAAGCAAGTGTTTGCAATTCCAATCGTATGTGCTTGATCTCAAGTGAAGTTTATGGATGTTTGAATGTTTTGGCAACGTCAGCCGTCCTTTTGCCCAGCTGTGTTTCACAGTTCCTACTCTATTCTTCGATCGTTGGGCTGTAACTCACTTGGTAGAACGTTGGTAGACAGCAAGTAATTAAATTTCAGATGGCAGTCACACATGCTTACTTTGACTACTCATGAGACACTACAGAAGTAAGCTGCAGGTACCATTGCACTGCCGGTGAAGCCTTTTCTCTAGAACAGAAACCGCCGCAGCAGATTCTTTTTGTTCTTTTCAGCAGACTACAAAGCAATGGGTATTCCCGACGATGCAAACCCATTGAATCGTTCTCTACCAGCAGAAGTTGTGACAAGGACTGCGACAATGGCACGTTCAAAACGGAGCATTGAATTGAACAAAACTCTTTGTCCCTCCTTTTACCGCACGTAACCACATGCTCAAACAGTGTTGGATTTGGAAGACGAGTTGGCTTTTGCAAACTTCTATATATTCACCATCCTGCGAGGCAAAGGCCGCAGACCAAGAAGCAAGTGAAGGAGGAGCACTGTTCTGCACATTTGGATTGGATTTCCGGTGAACACTGGCTCTGGTGGCATATCCGGTCTTGGTGGTCGTAGCAAAGAAGGCGATGCAGCTTGTGATAGGAGCCGGTCCCCTTGAACGTCGACGCGAAACAGGCTCAGTTAAACCTTGCAAGACCAAGATCTCAACGATTCAAAGCACACATACGTTGCTTTAAGATCCCTCGAACTACAGCAAGACTCAACATCATTTGAAGCTGCTGTGGTTGGAGGTGCATTCCCTGAAGCCGGAGCTCCGCTATAAATGGCTTGGCAAAGCACTGCAGCGCTGTCCCATGCTCAAACAGCGTGTCATGCACTATGACTCAGGCTAAGTTCAGTGAAATGGACACTGTCTTGGCATTTTGACAATGGTATGACATGATGATTTGGGACCACTGCCAACGTGTGAGGTCAAGAGGGGAAAGTCGAGAAGACATTGATCTTTGACATTCTTACCAACGTCAAAGCCTTGGGAAAGCCTTGAGACGTTATATAAGTTGTTCCCTAAAAAATTAGGAACCAAATGAATCGTGCGAGCGCTTTTATCTTTAATATATAAATACATGTTTCAGGCGAAATTTTGCAACGATTGTTCCAGCAAGCTCGGGGCCAAGATGTATCGAATCGCCCAGGCCTTAGTCGATTGGTCCTCAAGAATGCTTCTTAGGTTTCCTAGATAATAGGATCTGTGGTGTTCCACGGCAACCTCCGACATGCCAGTCACTAATCACCAGCCGATGATAGCCCCAGAGTTTTTTTGTGGCGCATGTTGCTGTATCAAGATAGATTGGACAGGTAGACAAAAACGTGGCTCTTGTCAATGTCACCCAACTTGGGTCATCCAGATGGAAACAAATGTTCCAGTCAGCAAAACACAAACTCCACAGCAAGACAAGGGGCAGCAACATGAATCATGGGCCAAAAGTCACAACAGTAACACGGATGGCCCATACATTAAAGAGGTTCAACATAGGCGAATTGCGCACTTGGAGCCGATCAAACCTTCCAAAGGTACAGAGACTAGCATGACTGACACACATGAAGCAAAAACGATGCAAACGAAGCCGTAGCAAGGCCGCAAGGCCAGGAACACGTGTTTTTTTTAGAGGAAGAAGAACACAAAAACAGGGCCGACAACCTCCGCCAACACTGCAGCCTGCTTTCCGAGGTGTTGGCCCACGCCGACTTATTCTCGCCAAAGCAGCGAAAACATCTACAAGTCGGCGGGGAATCGAAAAGAAAAACGGAGGGAAACCAAACCGTTCCGCCATGTTTCACTCTTGGGATAGCCTTGTCCTTGTTTGGCACCCGAGAAGAGATTGACTTTGGTTGAGAAGTCCAAACGGGAATGAAGATGGGACTGTAATTAGTTGGCTTGCTTTGGGATAGCAGATTTGTTCTGTTCAAAAACACTCTCCATAGAGAAGCAATTGCTATGGACATGGACAGTTTGACCTGCAGGGGACTGTCCACTGCGGAAGCTATACAAGAAGGTGCCGGAGACGATTGCGTTTCACAGAGGATATTCTTCAGTGACTTGATGGGCCTTGCAGTGAATTCTCTTGCTCCAATTTATCAAACCCGCGAAGCTTTTGCAGGCTGCCTCAGATGCAGAGCTTGAAGAGAAGGGTGAGGCGACAGCAAAATCTGCAAGACTCTCTGGATGTTAAATGATGTTAACATGTGTGAACTATATACTTTTCATTCTGCAATGCAGCGCAGAACTGACAGCAACCCAAACTGGTTTAGGTTCAACTTGTGGTTCTATGCAGTGTTTTCCAGTGGTAGCGGCCAAAGTGTTGCAAAGTGGATCGACTATTTTGGAAGTTGCATCAGTCAGGTTTTCAATGCACATCACCATCCCAATTTGTCGTCACTGATTCCTGCCCAGGTGCGAGAAAAGTCAGGCGTGCTTATTAACTTCAATGCGGCTGACTCCACCCCAGTCCAGCATGGACTGAATTACTTCCTTTGAACAGCATCCCTGTCCTCCGTGAGAGATGACACAGTCACTTTACAGATCAGTTGTATCCTCTTCAGGATGTTATTCTTCATTCTAAGCCTTTTGGCTCACCTTTATCATTTCACCTTGGTGCAAAAGGACTTGTTCTGTTTGGATGGTGGACTCATAGCCACAGCTGGCATCCAGCCAATTTTGGAAGGCGGACTAAGATGTTTGAAGACAAAGCCAAATGGGGGCCAAGCTTGTGAAATGTTCCGTGCTTTTTCTTCTTCTTCTTTTGATATCTGGAGCATAGAGTGATGTTGCCATGGCAGCGCGCTGGACGTGGGGAGTGTCTCCGACGGTCTGAGGGCTTTCCAAATAGGTTTGCATATGTTCTGCTTGCGCTTGCTGTGCTTACCAAGATTCCCGGTAATTGAGCTGACAGACCTTTTTGTTTTGCTTCTTGTTGTTTTATTTCTTCTAAATTAAATGTTTATGCTCCTTCAAATCACTGAGTGTTGGATGTGCGAAAAGCCCGTCGGCTTCTTTCTCTTGAGGTGCAGCTATGCGTGGCAGAGCCCTCCTGTGTTGGTCCGAAGAAATCCAAAATGTCTCGTGCAAGCTGCTGCGGAGGCTGTCGAGGTGCCCAAAAGCAAGAGCAAAGCCGGAGCGTTTGGGATTGGTGCATTGGCCGGAGGTTTAGGCGGGGAGAGAAAGAAGATCATCAGATAACTACTTAACTACTTTCCTTCTTACATTGGGAGTTGATCTAAAACGCCGTGTAAGGCAAGGAGTTTTATACAAAACAGTCTTTCAGATGTTAAAGCCATCCGTGAAAGATTCGTGATGAGGCTCGCAAAGAAGAACTTGTTTCCGCGAAAGATTGATCGAAGGTCGTCTGTTTTCATATGTTTTCCTCCGGCAGAGCCGGAGGGCGAAAAGTCCCTGCATATCCCCATTCTGCTGGGGTCATGCTGCAAGATGTCAGTCCTGGCTTTTGTGATACAAACAAGAATAGTTCCGGCTCATGTTAGCTAGACAGGCTTGTAGGACCATGCTTCGTGATGAAGCCGGAAAAGATATCCTTTTTTTCTGCCAAGAGTGGCCATTCCAGGATGAAAGAATATTGATCAACCACCAGATCTTAAGATCTCCATGCTGGAGAGGGAGCAGTTCTTAGCAAGACTCATGAATCTGCAGAATGCTTCTTCATGTTGTAGGCTTTCGCTTTCTTGTCCATCGTTAGCATCACTTTCCCACTTTCTCCTCCAGTCGCTGTTGGGCCGCCATTGATTGATTCAGGCGGTGCTCTGGGTTTGGGCGGTGGCTTTCTGGTGGTTCCCGCCTTGAACTCGTTGATGAACATGGAGCCGCGGAAGTCCATCGGAAAACTGGCTCCGAAATAAAACAAGACCCGTCACTATTTTGTGGGGTGATGTTTTTTCGTTCTAATTGAATCAATCTATGTATGTTTTCTGTTTGTTTCTTCACATTTTGTTGATGTTTTTCTTCTTCATTATATTTTGATTCCTTTGCACAAAGTCCCAGGGACGAGCTCCTTTGTGGTTTTGGCAACCAGCTGCTCAGCGGTTTGCAGCTATCTTCATGAGGGCTTAGCGTCACTTCGTGCTGCTGGTGCAATTGCCGCCACGGCCATCTTCAGTGCACGTTTGGGAGCTTCACTTACAAGCAAAGTGAAACCCAAAACCCTGAAGAAAGGCTTTGGGGCCTGGCTTCTTCTGGTAAGCGCGATCATTTTGGCGAAAGCTTTCCGCTTGATGCCTGCCACTTGGCCGCAAATTCCGAAGGAGAATCCAAGTGAATCCACTGTTTCCTCAAAAACATGAGATTTGCTCGCTGTCTCAAGAGGATGCGCATCAGGTCACGACTTCGCTTCCACACGCGGGTAGCTCCACGGCATTGCTGCCTCTAATGTTGCTGGGAGTTTTCAGTGGCCTGATCTCTGGACTCCTTGGTGTCGGAGGTGGCACTGTTCTGGTGCCGGTGCTCGCCTTGCTGTTCTCCTTTCCCCAATCTGAAGCGCAAGGAAGTGCTTTACTGGCAATGCTTCTTCCATCAGTTGCCCAGCTGAACAGACAATGATATATATATATATATATATATATACAGTATATATATGGTCCCCCCCACGACCCATATATATATATATATAGTTATTATTCTATTTTTTCAGAATTCTACATAGGGCATGCTGGTGTGAGTGACCATAAGTGTTCAAACTTTGATCCAATATGGACGAACAGATGTGCATCCAACCGGCTTGGCAGGGAGGCCACGACTTTAGCTTCGCACACTCACACCTTACATTCATGCATCCATCATCGTCCCACCATGATCCATCATGATCCATCTTCCACATTTGCAGGGATCTCCATTTATTTTGTCATCGCAATATTAAACACCTTTCTGCAAGAGACACAGTTGAACCCCTTTTACAGCATGTGTTTTTAAGCGCCAGCTTGTAATCTGTTTTTCAGCTTTGTTTCAGGTGGTGAGCACCACAACGCATTGGTCCAAAGGCAACGTCGACCGAGCTGTGGTGGGTTTCGCTGTGCTCGGCGCCGTGCTGGGCGGCTTCAGCGGGGGCTCGGTGGCTGCCGTCCTCCCGGAGCGTGCCTTGCGGATGGTCTTCGGCTGCGTGCTGTCGCTGGTGGCGGTAAAGTATATGAGATCCTAATCCAACTAAAACTGACCATTCCAAGCTTTAAATCCTCGAAAAGAGGGATGAATGGAGAGAAATCCAGAATTTGACGTGGAGACGTTCTTGTGAGATGGCAGCTGCTGCTCCGCAATTCGGATTGCGGCAGAAGTAAGGCCTTAGTTTTCAGGATGCTTAGCAGCTGAACGCGAGCAATCTCACAAGACGAGGTAGAGCAGAAAACAATTGGGTAACATGCGGTGTATAAGTACAGGTGGCACGAATTGAATAAGGCTGATTGCAAAGAATTCTTTTGCCCGTGGCTCCTCTATAAACAGAATCGCACCGAGAGTTTCCTTGGACCTCCCAAGTGCTGTCCTGGTCATTTAGTAATTTATCCAAGTTTTGGCAAGGCGTACTCCTTTCATCGCTTCCATTCCGGTACTTGCTCAGAACTGCTGAGGACACGAGATTTACGCCTTTGCAACATGTAGGTGTTGAGGCCCCAGGTCCCTCATCTGAATAGCTCAATCGCGAACCATGGGAAGCACTCTTGCCAGATATTATAGCAGCACTGTGGGAACACCTGGCCTCTTTGACTTCAGCACAGAGAGAGGCCAGTTGATGCGTGGCCCTTGATTGTGCACAGCCAGTGAAGTCTTGTCATGCTTTGTTCACTACTCGCACCTTGAACATTGAACCTCCTGTTTATTCGATAGCACATGATGCTCATTGCTTGCCGCCAAGTCTTGCTAGAAATAGTTTGGCTCGCAGAGAATTTCATCTCCGCTGATCCTCATCAGACAGGTGGAAGTCAATGCCTTGGACGATGCCACGAAAGCTAAGTTGGAAACATTCCTGGAGGCGCAAAGCATGGCAAAGCTTCTTGAGTCTATGTTGAACATGCACAAACTGGGCTTCTGCACTTGGTCACATCCATGTGGAGGTGCTGTTGCACCAGCACACATTTGGGTGGATTGAATACTTTAGTCGTGCTGCCACACAAACTTGGCCTGGTTTTGTACTTGCATGTGCTCTTGCTGTCAGGCAAGGATAGCAGCGAGCACTGGACAAGGCACCTAGTGAAACTTCGACTGCAGCTGAACTGTTTAGCGGACTATTGCCAATAGAGGCTCAGATTTCTCTATCCGCTTTTTGTGGCGTTCAAGCCCTTTGATGATGCCAGTAACATACAGCTTGCTGTTCCGGGCACTTTTGCAATTTTCTTTGCATTGTTTTATGTTGCGTGACAAGCCATCAATCACATGGCCCACATTGAGATGTCAAGTTTCTTCTTGCGAAGCACACTCTAACTCACGGGATCATTTAGCAACAATAATTAGCACACTGCCAGGTTCTGCATCTGCGGAGGACTCAGACCTAACCGCTTTATAGAGTACTATCTGATCCGTGCATCTTAAGTGTTGAGCACACACACCAACTTTACAACCTTGCACCTGCTGACACCAACATGTTAATCCATCTTGGACAGCTTTAGTTGCTTATAGCATCTATCAGTTTGGCGAAAAGGCATGCTTCACGCAACAAGTTCTCCGTAGCAGGAGCCAGCAGGGGAAAGAGAGTCTGAGGCGCAATAATCGGACATATTTTGGTCGGCGGTCATGCAAGGATCATGCGCTGGGTGGGTACTAGACTTGATCAATTTTTTGACTTATTGGGTTGGAGGCCATCGCCGCTCTAGGTCAGCATTGAACAGTTTGTGTGGGAATTGGCTCTTGTAGCTTCGCAGCAAGTGCCACACGATTGAAAGTGAACATAGCAAATTGGTGAAGGCCAAGAAGGCGAAAGAGTCAAGGTGCCAAAGGGTTGCCCAGACAGAGACGGTCTCTCCGGCTTTTGCATCAATTTGGCAGCGATTTATAACACTGAAGCTGCGCACGCATTCACATAACACATATCAATTAGGATACTGTTCCGGTAGCATACTGTACATGATTGAGCAGTATTGAATCTTTGTGCTTTGCTGTCGACTTGCTTCAGAGCAGTTTGCGATTGCCCGACACGTTTCCAGGAAGTCGAGAGATCGCAGCCGCAGTCGCAACCGGAGAAGGCACCCATCCCAGATGCCCCTTGAGACGCAATCCATGGTGAGCTCGCTAATAGGAATCCATTGTGGTCACATCTCAAAGCAGAATTCAGTTGTGCAGCTCACACCGTGACAAACATGTGCAATTCAACACAGTGTGAGATACATGATAAATGGTTCATAGTTCAAAACATGGTATGACAAAGTGCTACTCTCAGAGCATGAGAGTTGATCTGTGAATCTCACACTGTGACATACACGTGAACTTCACCATACTCGTAATGTGAGATGGATATATTGTTGATGTTTCGATCTGATTCAATCTATGAAATGCAAGACTACTGATGTGACAGTATGAGATACTATAAGATAAATGCCACTAATCTCATAACATGAGCTCACTGACAGATGTGGACAAGTTGGGCAACGTTAGGTTGATTTCCATTTGTACTCAAGCAGAAATTCTTTGTGGTGGGTGGGGCCATTGCAAGCAAGCAAGCTACAGCCCCTCTAGACTCTGGTGTTTGTGAAATGTGGTAGTCTGTGAACGTTAATGAGTTGTCTGTGGTTGTAGAGTGTGGACATGTGTGGACATATGCATGTTGTGAAGTGTGGTGATTTGGTTCAGGCGGAAGTCCTCCTCTTCTAGCGAGGACACATGGGAGTGCGAGTCTCACAGGGAGAACTGCCGTGCTTGCACGCCTTAGACCCATACGTGCCTTAGACTCGACCTACGTTGCTGCTATTTGTGTAACACAAGTCAGACATGGCATACTGTATATTATTCTCATTCAACTTATTCATGTTTTGCAGCTTCTGGGCTACGCATGATGCGTTTGGCAGTAGTATGTAGCAGCAGACAAGAGTTGATTACTGATGCCATAATGCATGTTGCCTGCGGTCTCAATGGTTGACTCACTGTACACGCCCGACAAAGCGTTTTTGTGTTTATGACAGGACTCCGACTCTGAAAGCTCACGGTCGCGCTCGCGGCGCCGAAGAGGTTAGATCCGAGTGGGATTTGTTGCGCAAATTGTTGCCTACTGTTTCTAAGGACTTCTGATTTGCAAGAAGATTTGTGACATCCCAATGTGCTCACGGTGATCGCCAGGCAGCTGAACCATGCAGTGCAATCTGGTGCAAAAAAACGATGCATTGAAGCACGATGTCATGCTCTCTTGGGGTTTGTACTCACTGAGCAGATTTCTTTCTCTTGAGTATATAGCTCTCGTTTGTGTGTACTTTGGACAGTTCCCAGTGTTCAACTGCGAGTTCAGCTGATCAAGGGATTGCTGCAGCTTGAATCAACTTCATCCTGATGAGTTATAAGTAAGGTGTTGGCCTTTCTTTGCTTTTCCCCTGAAGCTATTTACGTGATGGAACCAATCCATACCAATCCAAAGTGTGTCAAGCGGCTTCAATAGCAGACTTCCAAGAAGCCTCGTGGAAGCCGCAACACCCTTCACGAAAGCTCTTGAAGCTTGGAATGTCAGAGAAGTGGGGAAGGTAGACACATCGTGTGAGTAAAACGACTTTGGCCGGGCGGCATGAAGCTGGCAATTCTAAGCCTGTGCTTGTGGAGGCCGAACGGGATGTCTGCTGTGGTGCAAACGTGCTGTTTAATGCTTATGAAATCATATGAACTTATTATGATCAGATAGAGGACTTTTGGTTGGCATTCCTTCAGCCTCCCTAGCAGAAGGTTCTGAAAAGAGCATGTTCCGGAAGCTGTTAACTGAAGTTGTAAACTGAAGGCATGGCTGGTCTGGGCCGCTCTTCCCAAAGGAGCCAAGAGGTTTGCTCTAGTAAATAGCGTCCTTGCTACTAGTAGTAATGGCCTCCAACCTAATAGCGATGGCCTCCACCTAGCAGCGTCCTTGCTACTAGTTACATGCTCAGAATCCTTAACTGCGAGGAGCTATACTGCTCGAATGCTTCGCTCCGTCTTCAAATGCAGGCAGGGAGTGCCAAGATTGGACAAACCACCTCGGACCTCCAACGAGCGCACTAACCTTGTAAAGCAAGAGGAACTTGAGCCTTGGCCGCTGAGCTCCTGTGCTTGAGGATGCAAAGAAAGCAATCCCGGCCCTTTCTTTGCTTGTTACTAGTAGCTTCTAGCTACTAGTAGCGATGCCCTTGTTGCTAGTAGAAAGCATTGTGGACAGGACACGCGCCACGGAGGTGTGGCGCAGGCACTCTGGGGTGAGTGACCTTTCGCATTGGTCGATTTGCAGTGGAGTTTATGGCCCAGAAACAAGTTTTGTTACGTTTCCCTAAAAATCCAGAAACCCAATCTCACCTCGTCTACGGCAATCTCCTTCATGACTTGTTTTTGATCAGAGACATGTGGAGGCTGACATACCCTGTGACAGCCGCGCGTTTGGGCGTTTGAGCACGTGCTGCAATGCTGAGGACAGAGATCAACTTGTTAGGCTCTTAGGTTGGAGGCCATCGCAAGTAGGTTGGAGGCCATCGCTAGTAGATTGGAGGCCATCGCTAGTGGGTTGGAGGCCGTCGCTATTAGGTTGGAGGCCATCGCAAGTAGGTTGGAAGCCATCGTAGGTAGGATGGAGGCTATCGCTATTAGGTTGGAGGAGATCGCTATTAGGTGTGAAACCATCGCTGGTAGGTTAGAGGCCATCGCAAGTAGGTTGGAGGCCATCGCAAGTAGGTTGGAGGCCATCGCTAGTGGGTTGGAGGCCATCGCTAGTGGGTTGGAGGCCATTGCTATTAGGTTTCTTAAAGTATTTTTTCTACAGTATAAAGTTTGTTGATATTCTTTTCGGTTGGAGGCCATGAAGATCAACTGGTTAGGCTGTTCATGAGCAGAGCTTGTCTCCTTGAAATGAGCACACACACACATGCAGAGGTAGCTTGGTCCTTTTGTGGTCTTGCAAATTTGAAATGGGGGAGGACCTTGCTCAGATGTTTGACTTCGCAGGATGTGACAGTTGTCATGGAGCATTTGCAGTACCACAGCTGCAGTTTGCTG